CAGCCTCACACAGCTTTGAATGTTCATGCTGTTTTGAATGTTCCCCTACATTTCTATATATACAAACAAATATCCTGTTAAGTCAAATGCTTCTCCTGGCATTATTTGAAACAAGGACTTATCATCCCAGTTTCTACAGGCAGAATGAGATGACAAGCAGCAACAATTTTTATTATGAAGGCCAAGCAACAGGACACCTTCCTCTGGGATTGCATTTTCTGCTCTGGCCATTCTATATCAGGAAAGAAGTTAAATGGATTAAGAGACAAGTAACACAGTCCGGAGATACTTCCATATAAAAAGAGTGGAGAGACTGGGAAGAGATGATCAAAACATGAAGCAACAGAGTTATACAAGAGCCACTTAGCAAACTTCAAATGTCAGATTTAAAACTTATCAAAAGAAATCTGCTGGGGGAGGGGGAGTCCCTAAAATTATTCAGTGGGACTCTGGGTGCAGTTACCTAATTAGCTCTGCAGTAAAGTCTCATCATCTACATATGAGTCCCTATTAGGGCACAGTAAACTAATAAACACTGTTGTAGGATAGTAGTTGGCAACACAAGTACTATCTTGCAGCGGCATTATTTAGTGTGCTGCCATACATGCATAGATGCTGACAGGGCTAACTGGAGCATGAGGGTACTTCAGTGTGGGGGCTGCCTACCAGCTAGCCCCACACCCAAGCACCCCCATGCTGCATCCAGCCCCTCCACAGCATGCTGAACCAGGTCACAGCAGTCCCAGGCTGGCAGGCTGACCCCCAGGACCTTCTGCCAGCCACGGCTGCACTGCCCCAGCTCTATGTGCTGCAGTCCTGGATGCATGTGCAAATGGCGTGCCCAGGAGCAACAAACTCCAATACAAACTGTGCCAGCATTTATTCATTCTCATTAACTGCATGTGTAGACATGCCCAGTGTCAGTTTCACTTAAGCCAAGACCTCATTGTAGGACTTAAAGAACTAGATGTTTTCATACAGATTGGAACATTCAGAGGTACATCAGAAAATATTTTAAAACATACTCAGCAGGGATAGAAGCCCTCATGCTGTAGAGCATAAAGGTGATTATTGTTGACAAAAAAGAAGAAACTTTTATGGGTAGGCTATTCCTTTACTGCCCATTAAAGAATTTCTAGCACCTTCCCCAAAGTCCACTCTCTGAGACAAGATGCCAGACTAGACAGACTACTGATATGGTACCAATTCCCATATTACAGATTCCAACAGTTGATAGCTAATTAACAAATACACTTATTTCAGGAACCAGCTGTTAAAATCTCACACAGACTTTGTGATATCTGCAGTTGCATTTCTTATCAAGCAAGCAGATAAGAAGTTAAATTATCATCATACTTATCAGAGACCAACAACAAGATTTTAACTTCAGCTGCAGTCACTATATTTCATACTTAAGTTGCAATGTTCTCCAATTAATGGATTGCAATATTTTCCCAATACATTCAAATAGCTGGGGCAGTAATACACTAGACAAGCAGCTGACAAGGTTCTCTGCAGCAGCAGGCTTGAACAATCCGGCTCAGGTTTGAGGTAGGCCAGTGCTTCTGCTTCTTGCTGCCATAGCACCAGCAACGCCCTTCCCCCCCACTCCACTCACTGGCTGTGGTGTAGGTAAAGTCCCCTGCTGCTGGAACACTGCTAAAAACCCCAGGCTGCACAAGCAGATGTGGCCTGCTGGCCACATGTTGTCAACCCCTGCTCTATACCCTTTACCTTCAAACAGATTCCCTTATTCAGGAAATGAAAAGGGCTGATTCCATACTTCATGAGTTAACCAACAAAATAATTCAATATCATAATTTCCCCATAAAACTTGTTTGCTGTACACCAAAAACCCCCTGTTCCATGTGGGTGACCTTTGACAGTGCCTCTCCTGTTTGCATAGAAGAGATGCCTTCAGTCAGTAGCTTTTTGATGAGGTTAAATGAATAAAAACAAAAAAACCGCATTCATTCTTTACTACCTCATCTCCTATTATTACCTGAAAGGATATTGCCTACAGTGCACACTCCACCCTGCAAAACCTTTCAAAAAATATTTGTGCCAACTGTATTGTCAAGAAATGTTTCCTCTCACATCCCAGAAAGTAAAAATATGTTTCGAAAAGGTCACCCCCACTGTGCTGCCACCTACACGGGTGCTTACAGCAACAAAGCTGTAGCATAATGTAGGTACATGTAATAGAGTCAAAGAATCAGACTTTGTCACTTCTCCACTTCCAAAAGCTTATGCTCATCTTCTCGCACAAATTGACCAACTGCTCCCCCTGTTCCTGTGGTTACTAACCTATCCTAAAGCAGCAGGAGCCACTTCAGCCTGACCGCCAAGATGAAAAGTCATAAGATAATCAAGACAAAAGCAAGACAAGACTTGGGACACAAAATAAACATTAAAAACCCACACCTCTGCTCAAAACAGCTTAATCCCAGTGAGTTTTCCTGACCTACGTAGAAAAAAATGGTTTTTTTGCTGAATTTACTGAAAAGCCCTTACTGACTGCTATTACAGTACAGCTAAT